CTTCAACATTGGAATTTTTGGCGATGTGATTGAGCAACCTTTGACTGCATCTTTGAGCACCAAAGACCGTACATTGAAGTTAATTTAGAGCTGACTCTCGAATGAAAACGTTGGCGCCTGTACTTCATGTAGAATTGTATGAAATGGTCGATCTATTCATTACTGGAGATCAGTATACTTATACAAAGAAGATTACACGAGATATATGGAAGGAATCCTATCTGATCCTATACAATCTCTATCCTTAATAATAATCTTATCTCTACATATAGTAATATACAATTTACATAGTAGTAACTTCTTTACTTCAAAACTTTCAATCCAAGCTTTGTTGATCCAAATCTAAATCTTGTAACTTGAGTTAATCTCCTCAAAAAAATTTTCCATGTTTGCAAATTTTGCGACTTTCATGAAACAAGGATAAACCATTAGTTCCATTATCCATATAATCGTTATCGTTGGATTTATGGTTCAATATCACTACATAAGTAATTTTTCCCCAGAAAGAGAAAAATCATCATAGTGACTTTCTCATTAATGAATATATTGCCACCAATGGAAATTTGATTGCATCTTAAAATCAGCTTGGTGCGCTGCAGTTTGCCATATATTTAGAATCCCCCGGAATGGAGTAGATTGCTCAAATCATAATTTTCAATTTGAGGATTTTCCAGAGATAAAGTATCTGCAACAAATATAGAGTTTGGTATATTCAAATGACTTTAGTTCGCCAGTTTTGCTCCTTAGTTGTCCTTTCATCCCGTTGGTATTGTTGAGTGATTTGAATCATTTTTATTTTTATTTTTTATTTTTTTGCATTTTAATTTTTTTCTTATTCCAACAAAAAAAACTGTTATTTAAGTATATATCCAAAAAAAGAAAAGAAAAAATGATTGGAGTCTTTACCACAAGGTAATCGTAGACCTTAGATTATGCAGTTTCATAATTGATAACCACTTTTAGTTTTACATTGGAGGATGAGATAAAGTTAATATTTAAGAATGATAGTACCTAATACTTAAAGAAATAAATAAATAAGTATTTACTATAGTTTTGTTACAAGAAAGTTACATTGTTATAAAGGGGGTTGAATTTTAACCGGTTTGTTGCATTTGTTCGTTATTTATTTGACAATGTTGCGACTTATACTCCGTTTTCGTGTTGCATCCAAGTCGATCGAACTCATTGAGTGCTCTCGGAAGTTTGACATGAATAAATTGTGAAATTGACAGAAGTTAAAATCAGTTGCAAACCTTAGACATGTAAACTTTGGCGCAAGATCCCATGTGCTACTTTTTTGTGTCACAATATAAATACTTCTTATAAATTATATAATTTGTACTAATACGTCACATATTTTAAATGTAGATAATTTTCATATTCTTATTTTATTTTTTAAAGAAATTTGACTATTTTTATTGAATTTTTAAACTATAAAAATTAAAATAAATAAGCCCTAACCCAAAAAGAGTAAACCTTTAATTCTAAAATATATAAGTTCGAAAGTGATTGTGAATGGTTTATGTATTAACACAAATTATATAATTTATAAAGAGTAATTGGATTGTGTCGCACTGAGTGTCATAAGAAAGTGACGCAGAGTATCTTGTGCCGTAAACTTGGTGGCGATGGTAGCCATCACCAAACTGAGAGACCACTTTTCCTTGGCATTTTTTTTGGTTACTTTCCAATCGAATTGGATGTGATGATCACTAAATAAAATTAGCGCCTATTACTCTTTAACTTTTGCAATGATACCATTGTAATTTGTAAATTGAAAAAGTTGTAGATTTTAAAATAACATTTTTGTAAATGTAAGGTATGCATTACATTCATCATTCCGATTACTTCATTCGTCTCGGAATGATAATTCAGTTTGAATTTTCATTTTTAATTAAAATAATACTAAAAATGAAATTTCAATCTAAAAAATAATTTTAAGAGAGAGAGTACATTGAAGTTTTAGTCATGTTGACCAAGCATATTTTTACAGCACTATGAGCAGACATTCCATTTTATAGTTATTCTTCAATGAAATTTGGAGCATGTCTTCAAGAGATAAACCTAAGTTTGATCGTCCAAATATAAATCATGTAACTTAAATTATGCCTCTCTTAAGTTTATCTGTTTGCTAAATTATTCAACTTGAAACTTTCATGATTTATTGCTTGTTTTGCCGCGTTCCTTCATTGTGCTCTACAATATGTTTCTGCCTACAATGAAGGATCATTACTAAATTAGAGTATTGTAATATACAAATTTTCTTTTATAAGATGGAGGTAAAGTGATACATAAAAGGTATGACTTCACATTAAAAAAAAAGAAGAAGTTGTGTCGAGTCTGTATCCAGTATACCCGGGGGCACCGTGTCCCCTCCTATTTTTTTTTTTTATATTTTTAGCCCTTATTGTACTTTTTATCAATCTTTCTATATTTTACAAGTATAGTCCCTGTCATTTTTTCTCTCTCTTCTAAAAAAAATATCTCTAATCTTTCAACGAGCATATCTCCTAATCTGTGAAGAATTTGTAAACGAATTATATATGAAATTTATAGTACTCGTCGAGATCTATTCAACAAGATCCATATCCAATATTTTTTTCCAACTTAAAAATGATCAAATTTCTTTGGGCAGAATTAAGTTGGATATCCAGTACAAACAAGTTGGATAACCAACTTGTTCTAAATTGGTTATCCACCGTGTTCACGCCGATTATCCAATCGGTTTGAACCTGTTATCCATTTTGTTTCTACTGCTTATCCATTTGGTTATCCAACTTCTTAATTCAAAATAAGTTGGTTATCCATCTTCTTAAACTGGATATCCAATGTGTTCATATTGATTATCCAATGCGCTAATATCTTGGTTATCCAATGGACTTACATGCTTATCCAAATTATTTGTCTTGGTTATCCACCGTGTTCATGCCGATTATCCAACTTGTTTGTCTTGGATATCCATCCATTTGGTTTGTATGCATATCCAACTCTAATCTTTTAACGAGCATATCTCCCAATCCGTGAAGAATTTGTGAACGAATTATATATGAAATTTATAGTACTCGTCGAGATCTATCCAACGAAATCCACAGTGAAATTTTTTCGGGCTTAAAAATGACTTAATTCTGACGGGCAGAATAGAATAGAGGTGGTTATCCATTTTTTTTTTTTTTTGAAGAGTGAATGTCAAACATATGATTGGATAACAAGTACGAACATAATGGATAATCACTCCAAACCTGTTGGATAATCAGTAAGAACACAACGGATAACCATTTTTCAAAGAAAAACAAAAAACACGTTTCTTCATTTCTGCCCGTAAAATTTAAATGCATTTAAAGTTCAAAAAAATAATCAACATGGATCTTATCGGATAGATCTCGTCGAACACTATAAATTTCATATATAATTCGTGTTATAATTCTTTACGAATCAAAAGATACAAGGAACACAACAATATGAATGCGAAATAAGTTGGTTATCCATCTTCTCAAACTGGATATCCACTGTGTTCATGTTGATTATCCAATGCGCTAATACTGGTTATCCAATGGATTTACATGGTTATCCAAATTGTTTGAACTGGTTATCCAATATGTTCATATTGATTATCCAATGCGCTAATACTGGTTATCCACTGTGTTCATGCTGATTATCCAACTTGTTTGTACTGGATATCCACTGTGTTCATGCATATCCAACTCTAATCTTTCAACGAGCATATCTCCCAATCCGTGAAAAATTTGTGAACGAATTATATATGAAATTTATAGTACTCGTCGAGATCTACCCAACGAAATCCACAGTGAACATTTTTTCGGACTTAAAAATGACTTAATTCTGACGGGCAGAATAGAATAGAGGTGGATATCCATCTTTTTTTTTTTTGAAGAGTGAATGTCAAACATATGATTGGATAACAAGTACGAACATAATGGATAATTAGTCCAAACCGATTGGGTAACCATTTTTCAAAGAAAAACGAAAAACGCATTTCTTCATTTCTGCCCGTAAAATTTAAATGCATTTAAAGTTCAAAAAAATATTCAACATGGATCTTATCGGATAGATCTCGTCGAGTACTATAAATTTCATATATAATTCATGTTATAATTCCTTACGAATAATTAGATACAAGGAAAGGAATAATATGAATGTAAAATAAGTTGGTTATCCATCTTGATTATTTATGTTAATACTGTTTATCCAACTAATTAGTATTATTTATCCAACCTGGTTTTTCTTTTTATTATTTTTTAAAAAAATAATAAACTAAGTTAGTTATCCAACTCGTTTGTATTAGTTATCCAATCATTGGTTTGTCTTGGATTATCCAATGCGCTAATCTTCGGTTATCCAATGAATTTACATGGTTATCCAAATTGTTTGAACTGGTTATCCACTGTGTTCATACTGGTTATCCAACTCGTGCATACTGGTTATCCATCTTACTGGATATCCAACTTATTCTGTCCATCAAAATTTAGTCATTTTTAAACTCAAAAAAAAATATTCGAAATGGATTTCATTGGATAGATCACGACGAGTACTATAAATTTCATGTATAATTCGTTCACAAATTCTTCACGGATTGGGAGATATGCTCGTTGAAAGATTAGAGCTGTTTTTTTTTGGAAGAGAAGGAAAAAAGTCACATGGACTATCCTTACAAATCATAGAAAGATTGATAAAAAAGGTACAATAAAGACTACTCGTGCAAAAAATAGGAGGGGGGCACGGTGCCCCCGAGTATACTGGATAATTTGCCGTTGTGTCTGCATTTATCATAAATTTGATTGGAAATAAATTTCTTATATATTATTAAAAAAGGAGATTATTTTTTAAGCTTATTTTTACCGTTACAAACTTTCTGGTAAATTTTTAGTGTAGGTACCAGGGAAGAAATTCACTCTTCACCTTTTGGCATTGTTTTCTTTTCTAACTCGAACCTGAAATTTACAACAGTAATAAGAAAATATTACCTGCCCCAAAATAGCCCTAAAAAAAAAAGGAAAATTTTTTATTTTCAGACTCCTCTCCTACTATCAAACTAAAAACTGCTTCCTTCCCATCCCTCTTTTTTCTGCCAATAACTGCTACTACTCTTCTACTAATCTTCCATTTCTACAAACACCATTCTTCGCTGCAATTCCTCTTCCATTCCCTCGAATATTTTGTTGAATTCCCCATCCCCCCCCCCCCGTTTTTTTAATTGGGCATTTGAAACACGAAGAAACGCACAGCGAATTTGGCGGTAATTTGAAGCGGTTAGGGTTCTTATTTGTTGGTTTTTTAATTGGAAATCCCTTTTTTTTTAAGGGTTAATTAATAATAGCCTATCTCTTCTCTTCTGGGAAGGGATTCCTTAATTTCGTGATTTGGGTTTCTGTTTTCTTCCCCTGAGGTGTCAATTAATTGGTGTAAAATTAAACTGTGGTGGTTGTTTTTTGGAATTCGTTTTGGGCTTTCCCCTTGTCGGGATAATTTTGTGGCTATCGAGCTGGTGATTCCAGAAACAACCCATTAATTGCTGGCGTCGCATGTTCTTTTCTTAGTATATTTTTTGGTTTAATTTGCGCCCTACTGGAGGTGGGTTCCTATTTGGTGATTGTGTTCCACATAGATTAATGCTGTGAAAGAAGTATTATTGGGTTAGGATTTGGGTTCTGTTAGACCTGTTATGGTTGTTTAACCTGTTATTATCCGTGAGTATGGAGGGGTGAAAGTTCGGTTTGTGGGTTGGAGCGTCCATCTTTTCTATCTGAAAGATGAGACTTAGAAGACAGTCGCATTGATCATTGTGGCGGTTGTTGTTTACTAAGGAATAGGCCGATTGATCATAGGGGTAGTCACTAGTATTCGTTGTTGCCGTTTGAGGCTTTCTAATAAAACCGTGAACTCAGTTTCGTTTGGAGCTCTTGTGGGAGTCCATTGAGTTAATCCAGGAACTCTGCATGTCGTTTTAAGAGAATTTTTCGGTCAAGGAAACACTCACAGCGTTTCTTTGTATATTTGATTCTGAATATGGTCCTAGCCGATGGAAAGAAGTGAACCTGCGTTAGTTCCAGAATGGTTGAGATGTTCTGGAAATGTTGCCGGTGGCAGTCCCTCAAGCCACCACTGTGCACTTTCTTCTCCCCACGCAGGTATTCTATGTGACTCTAATGTCATCATGCTTTGTGTTCTCAAAGAATGCACTATATTTTTGTTTCATTGATTTGTTTATTTATTTTTTCCTTTGGAAATAGATGTTTCTTCAACATGGAGTAGAACCTCCAGAAGCAATTCCGATATTCACCGGGCTCCTTTTCTTGAACGCAATCATTCTTCCAACAGTAGGCGTAGTTCATCCAATAACAGTCTTGCAAAGCATCCATACAGCAGTTTTAATAGAAATAATCGAGATAGAAACCGTGAAAAGGATAAAGATCGACCCACCGGTGGAGACATCTGGGATCATGATTCTTCTGACTCGTTAGAGAGTGTTTTAACTCTTGGCGCTGATAAGAGTTCTTTGCGACGTTCTCAATCTCTTGTCTCCAGGAGAAGTAGTGATGTTTTACCTCATAAATCAGAGGATTTGAGAAATGGCATTAACCATCAAAATAGTGCCAATGGAGTTGGATTAGGCGGAAGCAACCTAAGTGGATTTCAGAAGGCTGCATTTGATAAGGATTTTCCATCTCTTGGGAATGAAGATAAGCGAGGAGGAGCAGGTAATGGGAGGGTATCATCACCAGTTTTGAGTACAGCTGTTCAGAGTTTGCCCATTGCCAACACGGGGTTGTTGGGTTGTGAGAAATGGACTTCTGCCCTGGCTGAGGTACCCTCAGTAATTAGCAACAGCAGCATTGGGAACTCATCTGCTCAGCATAGTGTTGTTGCCCCTGCATCTTCTGTTGCTTCAAGTCCTGCTGGAAATCTTAACATGGCTGAGGCATTGTCACAGGTTCCACGACGCACGCTCGCTAGTCCCCAGGTAAGATTGATATCATGGTTCTTTAATATATGATAGTTAAGTCTCTCTTCAGTATTTGATCTGAATAATTTATTTGGCAGGCACCTGATAAGAGCCTGAGGCTTGAAGAATTAGCTATTAAACAGTCAAGGCAGTTAATACCTATGACACCTTCCACACCTAAGACATTGGTATGAGAAGAACTCTTATGATATGTTATTTTGATATCCATATTCTGCTTAAATTGTGCTTCTGATTGAACCCAACCAAAGTAAACTGTTGTACTTACGTGAGGTTCTTGCTCCTTTTTTTTTGTTTTATTTCTCAATTCTTACAGAAATATGTGTTCAGTTTTATGCATTTTGTAGCCATTGATCAGGAATTTGGTATGCACAATTTGACTGGTAGGAGTGACCTGATTAATGATGAGATCATTTGTTTTGGAGATCCCATAATGTGATCTGGTCATCATCTTGGAGGATAGGATTACTGCTAAAATGACAACATTAGAACATACCTTTTGAATGTGATGTCTTGTTGGTACGTATTGTTCCATTTGAATATAATGTTTGCTTCTTGGAATGTAATAAACGTTCTTGAAAACTGGGAGTTCTTTCCTTTTGCCATTCTTAGGAGTTCTTCTGTGCCATTTTGTTTTTCCAATTTTGGCACCATTGAAGTTAGGTTTTAAATAAAGTAATCTGCAGTAATAGATCTTTGGTGTGAGTTCAGTCACAGCTGGTTCTTATAGCATGTTTTTATTGAAGATTGAAGGGATATATGCACATTTCTTCATAAATGACATAGCGTCGCCTTAGAGAGGACATGAGATATTTGAATACGGTTGTAAAACTGAAACATGTCATCATAAATGGGGGAAGCTCCTCTCAGTTCATTCACAGTCATTTAACAGAAGTAAACCACTACTAAGGACATGAGATATTTGAATACGGTTGTAAAACTGAAACATGTCATCATAAATGGGGGAAGCTCCTCTCAGTTCATTCACAGTCATTTAACAGAAGTAAACCACTACTAGATCGTATATCAGAGACAACGTGGCCACATCATTAACCTTATGAGGATGTGTAACTGATATCAATGTCCAATAATAAACATCAAAACCTCCAGTATCAAGAAAGTGACTAACCAATGATTCGCCAAATAAATTTATATCCAACATATATTCCTATTCACCAATAATGGGAAAAAAAATAGAACTTATATTTTTGCCTCACATATCATTTGTATACGTACATCAGTTAGTAACCTATCAGGAACTAATTTTCTACCCAATTCCTTTCCCAATTTTCCAATCAAGTTCAAGATAAGAATTCTTCTCGCAAAGACATTTCAACTATTAGTAGTGACAGTAGTAGTTGGTTTCTGTTGGATGAGCTGTTACTTCGTAGCATTTTGTGATAATCCTAAATGTCCAAGTATATGCATTTCTCTTTTTGTTAGAAAAATGATCTGTTTGACATTTATTATATCTATCAAGGGGAAACGACTTATGTTCAAGGTATATGTAAGATTTTATGTTTTTTAAGGTCTGCATTAGAATCAACTGCTCGGAAAGGCAATGTTCCTTTTTGTTGGTGTTGTATCAGGAAAAGGAATTACCAGTTGTATTTGTCTTCCTTAGGAATCCAATCACTTGTACATGAATGTATCTCCTTGGTCAGTATTGTTGATGTATGTAGTTTGTTTATGTTGGGGAGCATGTTTTCTCATGGACTTATAGCTCCTTGCAGTTATAGTTATTGCATTGAACTCTGATATCTTATTTAGTATTCCTGGCGTTGAATTATTTGTGAAATTGTCTTTTCTCTACGCATCTGTTTAACTTTTCAATTGATTTTGTGTTGTCTATTAGATGCAAATACTATGTTAGAGGATCTATTTTTGTACATATTTAAGTGGTGGCTACTAGCATATATCTAAGTGGATGCATCATTTTACAGGTTTCAACTTCTTCAGAGAAGTCAAAGCAACCAAAAGGTCCAGTTAGGTTAAATGAGGTTGTTGTACCTGTAAAGATTTCGCAGCAGCAGCAGCAAAACTATTCATCCCAAGTTTCTAATCAACCTCGTGCTGGACAAGTAAGGTCCGATGCTTCGAATGCATCTCATGCTGGGAAGTTTCTGGTCCTCAAGTCAGCTAGAGAGAATTTAACCAATTCTGTTGTTAAGGATGCATCTAATCCAACTAACAATGGCAATTGCAAGGTCTTAAATAACCACTTTCCTCAATCTCCTTTAACTCCGATCGCTGGAACAAGCAATATTGCTCCAAAGGTCTTCACTCTTGAAAAGAAGGCACCTTCCTTGTCTCTAAATCCTAGACAAATGGCGGAGAAGAAAGCTTCCTCATCTCTGGCTCAGAGTAGGAGTGACTTTTTCAACCTTATGCGAAAGAAGAGCTCGCTTAGCACTCCTTCTGTTCCACACTCAAGTTGCTCAGGTTTATCTCCTCGTGGAAATAAGCCTGATGAAAATGGCAAAGAAACTGAAACTGCTTCAGTGACCCCTTTTGTTGCTGAGGATGGGAACGGAATGATTGTTAATGACCATGCTTGGAATGATGCAAAAAGTTTTAGTGACAGTGAAGACAAGAAAGTGTGTGTTAATGGGGCAGTTTTTCCAGATGAAGAGGAGGCTGCTTTTCTTCGTTCTCTTGGATGGGAGGAGAATGGGGAAGATGTAGAAATTACGGATGAAGAGATTGTTGCTTTCTATGAGGAGGTAACTTGATTATCTCTATACTCTTGCTATTGACGTTGCGGAAGATGTCTAATATACGTGGTCCGCTGTGTGGCTCAATTCCTTGACTGACTTTGTCTAAAATAAACTAAAAGCTCGATCTAGCTTCTCCTATTTCTTTTAGTAGTCATGTGGTTTATTTATCTTATATTTATTTTTTTATATATCTGGACTAGAATTGGTGAAGATCAAGAGATGAAAGTGAACTTATTGTTCTATTCTTCTGTTGTTTAGGCGTGCTATGAGTTGGAATTAGTCTTATAGGAGAGGTTTTTTGTATGGTTGCTGGCCAGATCTGTTTAAATTTAGAGTAGAAGAAATAGCGGTGCAGTATCTCTGAGTTTATGACCAAACAAATCCAAGAAATTTGTGTACTTTTTCTATGCCGTTATTTTTCTGAAGAAAATATCTGAAAGGATTCTTGTTAACCGTTTGTAACTCACCGCTTCTCTCATTTGACCGTCAGCCCCATGTTTTCCTTTGCAATGGAGACTGTTTTGATGAATTATTCTAATGTAAAAATCTGATAATAAAATATATTGTTCTACTCATATGAAATATCTTGCTATAATAATGAAAAATTGTAATGGCAACGATTCTGTATCACTAGTATATTGTTTTAATTTGGAATATCTTTATACTTCTCCTCTCTTGTGATTGTGATAGCTGCTTGGGTAGTAGTTGGTAATAATTGACGGTCTGAATTAATATATATGATTACAATTACACTCTTTAGTGTTCATTCTTCATGCTGAAACATTAAAGAATTCCTATTGAATAATCCTGGCCAGCTTTTTGCATAAGTGAGGAGTATTTAATCGGTGGTCCTTTTGAGTTACATTTAGCGTGTATTTTGTTTAGATTCCTCATTCAATGTGCTCTATTGAATTTGTTTTTTTGCTGATGTGGCAGCAGACCGAAACCCCCCCCCAAAAAAAAAAAAACACTTGCTGTGGGTGTTTCAGTTGTGTGCCTTTGCTACCCAGTTTTACATTAAAGATTCTCTTGTTCTATTGATTTCTTTTTGCAGTTGTAGTTATTGCAGTGTTCTGCTTGTGGCCTGCCTAGGATTAACAGTAATATTTAAGCCTCTCAGTTGCGTCACTGGATAGATGTTGTGGGGTCATCTCTTGTTTTAATTTTGATTTACAAGACTACTGGATAGATGTTGTGGGGTCATCTCTTGTTTTAATTTTGATTTACAAGACTACTTTCTTTATTGGTTGTCATAGCCTCTGCTTAGTTATCTTGATTTGATGACAGTGGTTCAACCACCGATACTTTTCTGTTGTACGAAAATAGCTGGTTAGCTTTTGTTGCCATCCCAAATTACTGAAGCTTTATGGTTTGAAAACTTCACTACTTCTCGGTTCAGTGCTTTCCTTCCTATCTCTGATCAAGTTCCTGATATGTTTGAATATATCATGTATCATGAATGCAGACAAAGAAGGGCCTAGGAACTATATCACTAGGATATTGTATAGTTATGCCAAGGATCATCATGATCAGAGGAGGAAACCCAAGTGTTAGACCTTTGGTTAGATTAATCATTAGTAATTAAAATATGCAGGAATTTATTAGTTATTTTATTATTTCTACAATAAGGGTACTTCAGTAGTTTTGCTGTGTTACAGGATTTTTCTGGAGTACTGGTTTCCTATTTTTGGTATTTAGTTTAATTTCCTTATGGATTAAGTTTTAGGTCGTCAAAAGAAATTTAGTTTTAGGAAGCTAAGATTTAATTGCCTATTTGCTGTTGGTTTAGGCCTACATATATGTACCTCGCTTGAGGGTTTTAGACGGTTTATCAGATTAATAAAATTCCTGCGAGCTTTTGCTTTCAACAACAATTGTGTGATTCAACTAAACCCTTGGTTTGATGCCTAGGAATCACCAAAGGGCCCTAAGGGTGATTCTTAGGTTTTCTTCTCTTTTCCTACTGTTTTCTTCTCTTTTCCTGCGAGTCCAACCTTGTTTCCCTACAGATTCTTTTAGTTTTCCGCTGCGTTCTATTCTTTAATTAGCCTACGGTCTGATTTATTAACCACCACATTTGGTGCTGCGTCAATCATTGAGCAAAAAGGTTGTTAGCTCGTTATAAGAAATGAACTTTGAAGTTGTGACTGTTTCTTTTTCTTAAGGGGGCAAGCCATCTAAGCTCCTAAATTCTATCATGTAGTTGTCAATTCCACTCTAGAGATGAGTCTGTGTCTACCACAAGTTGGAAATTTATGCTTTATTAACCTGCCCTATTGACAAGTGGCTGTATTTTGTCCCTTCTCATTAATTATGAAGTTTCACTTGTAAATGTTTCTTTGATCGGAAATCTTCATTGTTGGTTTGTTTCCTTGATGTACTTAATTTATTCATCTCAGAATCTTAAATTGTATTTCTGTAATTGCCAAGGCCATTGGTTTCTGGTTAGAAAATGATTTGTTAAGTTGTGGGGTTTGTTGAACCAAGACATGAGTTGGAACAGCACTCTTGATCTTAATTTTTTCTTGATGTTCTTTCAGAGTTATCATGTTAGAATATGTACATTTTTGTGGGTGGTGTAATAGTTTGTTTCTCATTTTGGGATTGCCTAATGCAAGATCGAGAAGTGATAGGTTCGTAGCAGAAGAAAAGAAACGAGTATATTTTCCTTTTTTGGTAAATACGAAGGATCTTTTAATATGGTCTAAGCATTTTGTAAGACTGTTAGAACAAAGTAGGTAAAACCATTCTGTAATGCAGATGATAAATGAGGTGAACTGTTCTGTTTTCTCTCTTTTGTTATTCAAAGGGAGGAAATTCCAGGAATTAACATTCTGCTAATATTTATCAGGTCACTATTACCAACTACTGGAAATTATCTTTGAAAGAGTCCGCGAGTGAATTTTTCTGTGCATTGTAATCTGAGGTATCATTGTGAGAAACCTGCGTCAGAAATTGGTTCTGAAAGAGTGTTGTATACTTGTGTGCATAGGAATAATTGGTATACTTTTGCTTCAATTGAGACAATTTGGGGGCTTATATTATCATTTGGTTTCTTTTCTATTTTCATTTAGGCTTCTAACTGTTCTGTCTGATGAAATGTCGTTAAGAATTTAAATGCACATGATTACTAATTCTTTCCTGGTCTTTCCTTTACAGTACCAGAAGTTAATGCCTTCTTTGAAAGTGGGGAGAGGCATTCAGCCAAAAAGCTTAATGCTGTCTGAATTTCACTCTCCTAAGTCAGTCGCTGCATCTTCCGAATCAGGGTCTATTGGATCAGAATCTGAAGCTTAATAGGCTGATCTCTTGCATGCGGGATCTTTCCTTTTTGGTCCTGCACCCAAGGGGAGAATGAAGGATAAAATCGGGGGAAGCAAAGAGGCAGGGTGGTTGTTAATCAGTTTTGAAGAAATGGTTCATTCGTTTTTTTGCATCTCTTTCGTTCTGGAAAGAGAACTGACACAGTTACTGAAAGGAATGTGTGCGTTATGATTCGGCAGCTTGGAGTATAGAAAAAAAATAAAATGACCCAACTGCTAGGATTTTTAAAAGGTTTTGAAAGATCATAGGTTAGGACACCTGTTATTGCAGCTGATGATGCCAGGAAAGTAGCTCCCTTTTTGGTCTTTGGTCAACTTTTGTCCCCTGTATTTTTTGGTCTCCTATTACGTTTTGGTCAATTTCATAAGGAAGAAAAAGAAGAAAAGAGTTGTAAGGTGCATTAAAGCACTGGTTTACATTTCCCCTTTCCCCTCCCCCATTATCCAATCGGCAAAGTTAGTTTAATGCTCTTTCTTGTGTCTATAACTCGATCCTCCTTTCTTTCCTTGAAGTTTAGTAATAGGATACAGATACATTTTGTCGCTCAATTAAATAATCTCTTCGTTCTAAAATAATTATCTTATTAATATACTGACATATTTGGAGATTGTCACATTAGTAACATTTTGCATATTTGGTTGCTCCTCGAAGATTATTATGGGATGGGAGCAGTTCAATATGCAAAAGTTTCTCATTACCTAGCAGTATGTAAATATCCTTTCTAATGTTTAAATAAATTTTTTTATGTAATTAATTACAGACCCTATCCATTAGTACTCCCTCCATTAGACTTAGAGCGAGTTTAAACATAGGAAAAAATGTCGTTCCTACTTAAAGTTTTGCTCTCGTCGTTAATCATATCCTATAGATTTTCGGTTAGCCAACTTTACTCAAATGTTTGAAATTTTCGCTAATTTCGTCCAATCGGCCCATTTTCTGTCCAAATTAATGGATCTCCGTTAGTTTTTTAATAAAATAATAAATTTAAATATAAAAATACCCCAGTAGTTTGTAAAAATTTTTAAAATAACTCCTAAAATATATAAAAATAACAAAATAGTCCCTTTTCACTTTTTTATTTCATTTTTCTCTATTTTATTCCATTTCTCTCAACTACTTTTAATGCCTATAAAAGTATATTATATGAGTTTTAAAAAAATAATTATTTATTTTCAAACTCTACCGTAAAAGTTAATTTTTGTATAGTTGTAACACATGATTGTATTTATATAAGCATGTTAATCTTTTTAATAATATAGTTTAGCAATAAAGACACTATTTTTCTGATTTATTTTATTCTTCCTAACATAAAGATTAAAAACATTTAAATGAAAAAATATTCCACATAAAAATAAAATATGGGCTCAAAAATAAAAATAATTAATATATTCTTCCTAACCCTTTTTTTTTTTTTTTTCCAAGACCCACCAATCTATTAGTGGTAGGTGAAGTAAGCTAAGAATTTGATATTGTCTATACATTCTAGTTGAACGCTATCGTAGACAAAGCGGGTACAGTGTACAATTTTACAGGCAATTGTAGACAATTAGGAAATGAAAATGGTGTATAAGGTGATTCTGTGGAGTCATAATGTTAGTTTGTCTTGAACCTTTTCCAAGATAAACTAAAAAGTCTTAAGAACACAATACACCTTTTTAGGATGTTGATATAAAATTAGCTGCGCATCTGTATAGCACTCGTGTTCTTATGACTTCTTGGTTTGTCTTGAAACCTTGATCTTGCTACACTTCTTTGCTTATAGTAATTCCAGATGCTGTTCGTATTGCACACTAATTTCATCTGATGATGTCCTTGCAGTGGGCTGATATACTGGACCTCACATTCCGAATAGCAGCTTTGAATATAATGATAGTTGACCTTATGAGAGTAAGAAACTGTAACCTTGCAATTCAGCAGGCAGGGGCTGCAATCCAGAACTAGTAGACCTCTCCCAGGTCCTCGAGTTCCGATTTCCGACGTTGTTCTACAGAACAAGCAGAGCTGTATTGAAAAGATTAAAGTCTTGGAATCTTGAGGCTGCACAAATCTTTCACTTCCAAAATCTTTATTTATGCCTCTATAATCTATGTATACTGGGAAGCCATTTTGCTTCTTTTTTTTTTTTTTTTGAAGGATAGCCATTTTGCTGTGACTCGTATGTAATCCACCACTTGCAAAAATGAGGCTCTAAGCAAAGGTTCTGATTTATATTGTAGTGAATTAATTAATATATACCATGATAGTTACAATAATTGAAAATTAGTTATGATATTAAAAATGATCTTTATTTTATTTAAATTCTCTATCTAACCTAAAATCTAGGACTTTAAAAGTTTCGAACTTCGAGAACGAAGCTTAAAATCTAAAGAATGAAGTAATAGAGACGCAGATGAGGTGTTGGTTCAGTAGTAAAATCACCTTTACTTTCAAGAGGAGATAATGAGTTCAAATCCCCCACTTTAACAAGAGTGAGGGTGGCTCTAACCTTGTCAATGGGCACCTCTAGGGGGCTTGTTACTGGAAACCCACTAATGAACTCTCATTTCGCACCTGAGCTTGTCACTTCGAACTTGCCTAGAATAGTTTACCTCCCACTGTGATT